AGTGCAGGCTTAGAGGAGGGTCTCCTCTGCTCCTGCTGTGCAGCTGTAGCTTTGCTGATGAGAAAGGGTATAACAAGATCACCCAAGAGTTGCCTGTCTGGTCTCATTCCACACAGAGGCACTGGTCAAGTTAGGCTGTGTATGACCAGGACAGGATCCTGAGACCACGAACAAATTCAGATGCTGCCAAGAGAAATTTTAAGGTAACCGGTACTCTACTGAGCAGATCAAGATACCCTGGGGCCTGGAGACCAGAAAGTCTTTCTTGGAGGAGAAGTCTGCTGTGCCTGTCAGGTAAGGAAGGGGCAGAGAAGGAGACCAAGTGTGCCCCATCACATGAGAAAGAATAGCCCTGTAAGGTAGCTGAAAGCAAGCAGCACCCCAAAGACCAGCCAGTCCTCGCTACAGGCTGCAGGAATGACTTGTAAAAAAAAGGTAATGTTGAACCTGTTGCCATAAAATCAAACCTGGGATCTGATGCTGGTGATGTGGAGTTTCAAGCCTCCACTTAAGGAGCAGCAGCAATACACGACCCTTCAAAGACATGCAGGCAGGACCGTGTCCCTCACACTGGGAGACTGCTCAGGTGTTCTGTTCCACTCTGCAAGATAAACTGGGTTAATCCATACAAGGTGGAGGATCACCAACAGAGACCTTGGGTTCCAGGGTAACGTTGGCACTCCAGTGAGGGAAGCAACAAGGACAGTCATGGTCCTGATGCCAGAAGCCCCCCAAGACCATGTGCCGTGCTACATTGGGCAAGAGGCTGAGGCAAAGTTGTCCTGGAACAATAATCATCATGAGACCCAAAAGTTCGTGTTTAAAAAGTTATTTTCCTGCCTCATTATTAAATACATAAATTAGCAACGTTACCCATAGAAATATGTATGCTATGAATATCTAGGTGACAGCTGTGGGAGAAATTTCCAAAACAGATGACTGTAACAATAAGCATAAAGGAGGAACTTAAGGTGGTCTTATAAAGAGAGGGGAGATGTTGTACAAAATGAAACTCCTGTACTTTTTAGTATTTCTGATGTAAGAAACAGCTGGAAGCGGCGAGGAAGACTGAGGGAACTGAGCACAGACGTGGTTATCAACAGGCTTAACTGCAGCAGGAAGGTCTAACTGCCAAGGCTGCAGCAGCTGAGATATTTCAATAGGCAGCTGTATCAGCCTCCAAAGCTGCAACAGGGATGCCCTTGTTAGATGCAAGGGAAGAATGCACTCACTGGAGAGGTGTGTGATGCGGAAAGTAGTGCAACCTTCACCTTTGAAGATTTCAAGAACTTAACTGGAAAAGGCCCTGAACAATGTGATACAGCTTCTGAGTATACCTTGCTTGAAGCAAGTCAGAGGTCATTTTGTTCCTGTTTTTTAAAAGCATTACTAAAACCAAATATTACACGTAGGTCTACTTAACAGGAAAAAAAAAAAGAAAAATCAAACTGAAGCAGCTGCAGAGAAGGACTATCAGGGAGGTTTTGAGAATGAAAAACTTGGTTTATTGATACTTAAAAGTTCTTGGCTTGCTTTTCCTAGCAAAATGAAAGTTTAGAGAGGACACATCAATTGTACCAACGAAAGTAACTCCAGGGAAGAAATGTAACTCAAACAAAAATGCTTGGTACAAGATCAAGAAAATGAAATGTCATTTTAAAAAGTTAAAACTAGAAAGGAGAAATTTCCAGAGAAGACAGGAAAAAAACTGAGTAACACCTTCCTAACAGGACAGCAGCAGTAGGGGATCAAACTGTCAGGAAGCTCAAGGAATGTCTAAGAGCTATTTGTGCCACATAGGTATACTCTGGGTGTTACAAATTACAGCGTGCAAGTAGCACCACCTCTGAACTGGATTTTAATTCAATTTGGTTCTTCAGAAATTCTTCTGGCCACCTGGAAATGACAAAGATTTCTTCTTTCACCTTAATGTAAAACTCAGCTTCTACAGAAGGATAATTTTCATCTGAAGCACCAGTGTGCCACCACAGTTAACAAAACCTCCAATACGTGTATGGAAATCGAGAAGACTGGTGGAGCTTGCTCCTACACTTAAGGAATGCTGCCCCTCTGTCCAGGAAGGTGTAGGGTGGGGAGGGATGCTCCTTACCTTCATTTATACTAGGATGTCCCGGCCCAGATCCTGAACGAAAGCAGTCAGTCTCACTGTGTGTCATTACAAGGATTTGGAATTCAGGTAATAAGCAAAAGTCTTCCCTCTCTCCTGTGGTATGTGGAACTTGGGAGTTCTCCAGGACTATAAACCATTAGTGCTTAAGACTTTCTGTGCAACAGATGTTTAATTTGGCAATTTTTTTGCAAAACATCTATTACACATTCAGTTGTCAAAAGAACCGCCATGGTCCATTTCATTTATGTACCTGAAGGGGAGCACCTCTTGGTCACGCTGCGTTTCTTCAAACCGCCAGGATGTAGCAGATTTCAGTGTTCTGAGCACTGAGTTCATGGGCATCTTGTCCTAGCAGACCTGAGGAACTGGCTAGCCAGCAAACTCAAACCAAATCACCGTGTCTACAAGTGATCTGCTAGGAGCTGTAGTGCAGCCTCCAGCTGGGAGGACGAGGGAAAAGCATTGTCCTTGCTGCCGATCCAGGGCCAGATGTGACTCAGCGATGCAGAGCTCCAAAGGCTCCAAATTCCAGCACTCTAATAAAATTACCTGGAAGAGCAAGTTGGTCAAAGCAACGCAAACCTGAGGGAGTGACAACAGAACAGTGGGTCACTTTATTTTCAGCTGGTCGAGCAGTTCTTCTGCCTTTGCAATTAGGTCTCAAAGAAACAGCAGCAAAAGTGCGCAAGAAGATGAATGCCAGAGAAGAATCTGAACTCCAGCTTCTCCCTCTGATGATCACAACCCACTGCAAGCAGCCCAGCAGGCCATTCTCTTCAAAAAGGATCCTCAGCCTCTGACTGTTAGCACGGTGACAACTCCACCTGCTTATGGAGACCTCGTATTTGGGAAGTTCGCTGCACTGGCAAGTGTCAATCCCCCACCCCCAACCCTCTCAGAACCATCAAGATTTCACCTCCTCCACTCACGCTCACACAGGGACAGTATTTTGCTCTCCTCTGTGTAGTTCAAATTCTTGACTTGGCTTTCTCTAGCCCAAATTCAGTTATCTTCGAAGTCTAAGTCCTGACATCCTCTTCCACAACTCAATGCTTATTTTTAAGTTGCTGCCAGTTCTTGAGACAACTTGCTAGGCAGGATGTTCTGCTCTTCCAGGTTCAGCATATGAATATAACCCCAGATGCAAAAAGGGTACTTAACACTTTTACCTCACTAAAATCACACAGCAACCCTCCCATCATATCAGGCACAGTTCCTATTTCTTTTAAAAATAAATATTTATGAACAAAAGGAATAGATTTGGAGAACTATAATGTTAATTTTTTTCCTGCCAACAGCACAAATGTCTTTTTCATGTAGAAGTCACAAGGACGAGTTGTACACCAACACAACGTAAGTACTGTCTAAAAATCCTTTCCTCATCAGCTGCCAGAGTCCTCCACTGCAGGAATCCACACCTTCCATGCAGCAACCAGCTCCTCTGCACTTCTCTAGGACTTGTACTGGGGCTGCTCAATCTCCTTTGTGATCAAGTCCTCGATATATGCATCCAGTTCATCATCTGTATTAATATCAATGTCCTGAAACCAAAGGCACAAGAAATACCAGTGAAAAGTGAGTTTTGAAGGACAATGCAAGGACAGGACAGAGCAGCAAAGCGTCCTCTGTAACATCGGCTCTGATCAGCCTTCACAGCCTGACTTCCAGCACTCTCCAGCTGCCGACATCTGCTGCGAAAGCACCACCACCTTATCTTGTCAGAGCCTGCTGGACAACGCTTGGAAACCAGTCATCACTTGAAGCTCAAACAGTGCACTCAAGCAATAGGTTTACCGTGCTGATCTGGGTCAAGTTAGGATTTACTCTTTTTATCTTTAACACATATTTTCCTAATAGGGAGCAACTGCTTCCATCAGCTTTTCCATTGTGTGGTCTTAATTTTATTTAAAGTAGGGTTTTTTATTTAAAGTTTATTTATAGCTTTTACTTGAATATATATTTGCTATTTTAATATTTAATAGTACAATTAATAAATAGATTTCACCATAATTTTTTTTATTAAGTATTATTTGTTTCAAGGTTTGCATTTTTATCCATGGGGTTCAGAATCTAGCACCACCTTTCTGCCCAAGAACAGAGCAGAAATTCCCTGCAGAACACTGCCTATGCCCAGGGAAATTCTCCTGCAGCCTCATGCTTCAGAGTAGAAAGCAGAAAACAAATAGAAGCTGTGCAGTATGTACATGCCATGAAAAATCCATCTGTGAAAAATAACACTCATCAGGACCCCTAAGACCTGGATCCCAAAAGGGGGCAGCGACAGCAGCTGCACACTCAGCTGCTTCTGGTGGTCTAAGCCCAAGTTGCACCCAACTGAGAAAAAGCTGAAGCCCAGTTAAATGTTGGACTAAAACATCTCAAGTGACTGGAGGGGCCTGGGTCTGGAGAAGGTTGCTACTCTTGGGGCAGCTCTGGTTTCACACCCCTTCCTCACCCACCTCCTGCACTTTCTGCAGAAGGGCCACGATGTTAGTCCTCAGCTTCTGCAGTTTCTCCTCCGTTTCCTTCAGCTTTCTCTCTGAGTTGCGGAGGTTTTCTTCACAGGCTTTGGCCCGGGCGTCAGCACGTGTCTGATATGAATTGCACAGGTTCTGCAGACCTATCTCATACTGTTTGAAATATTCTTTCTGTAGAAGACAAAACACAACAGATTACATGTTAAGAAGAAACACTGATTATTACAAAAACTCCAGCCCTCACAGCTTGTAGAAGAGTCCAGCTACAGGTACCCCCACACCACCAGCCTAACACCGCGCTCCTGCACACCCTGCCCACGGTTGTTACCATGCTCATATTTACATTTCTGATTTGCCTACTACAGGCAGCACAAAATCACACGGGTTTTCATATTCCTCAAAGACCAGAACTGCAACAAAAGCTGCCTAATTCAGATTAAGAATGCAGCATGTTTTAAAAAGCCTAAAACCACAGTTATGCTGTATGTATGTATCTGACAGCCTCTGTATGCAGTGAGTTTCCTTAGCATAGACAACCCAGACAACATAGCTTATTACTGTGAGGTAGGAACATCTACACTTGCAGAAAACTCCAGACAAGACCAATGTGTCCTGAAGAAGCAGCAGGACTGGTACCTCAAGCAGATGCCTAAATTAACAGAGAACAGAGGAATAGACAAGAGGACTGCCAATATATACATTGCGAGTGAGGGAGTATGGCACTTGGAAGACTACCAAATAAGCAGTGTCTTTTGTCATTTGGTCATCTGTAGGTTTTGTCACCTACAGATGCCTCCTGAAAACATCTCCCTTTGTGGTATGTCAGAGAAGAGAGAAGTCAGAGAAGCCAGTACCATTTCTCTGCATTTCAGCCTGCACTGCACCTTCCATTAACAGCACACAAGATACTGTTGCAGTCTCAGCCCCATCTGTTCCTTGCTCAAATAAAAGGAGGTCACACCAAAAGCCTTAAGATGCACAGCTGACTCACAGGTGGTTAGTCTGCTCACCTGGAAAAGTTTGAGGGGGACTGACTTCCGTCTTCTCTCCCATTTTTAAGATTGCCTCCACATAAATTAGATTTATAAGGCAGCAGGCAAAATGAACAGGTATATCTACATCCTATTTCTACAAACCTCTAACTTGGCCTCTCTTTTTTAAAAGCTTAAGAGCAGTGGATAAGAAGTTAGGATAGTAGCAGCCCCAACAGCTCTCCCACACAGATGTATGGTAATTAAAAAAATCCTCAGACAACAACTGTCAAAAGACCTAGGGCATGTTTCAGAGGCTCTCATTCTTTTTCTCAGCTACTTTAGTCTGCTAAGTATCCAAATAACCTTTTGAAGAATGCAATCTTGCATCAATAGGATGCACACTTCCCATAAGAATGGAATGTGCGTGGCGAAAAACCCCAAACTTACTTTTCTAGAAATACTCAACTCACCAAGGGAAACACCAATAACCCTTCCGAGCTCATGGAACTCAGCTCCTTCTTGGAGATAGGAAAATTTGGAGGTAAGAAGTACCGCAAACAATTTCTATGCAGGAAAGAAAAACACAAAGCCAGAGTTGGGAGTTTAAAAGACTAAAATAATCAGACTGCAGCAGCTCACAATAACTGCAGTGAACCCACCGAAGGATCTGAACTAGTAAGTCTACTGTTTCTTGGCTGCTGCTGGGACCAGTGGTGTCTGGCTCAATTCTGACACAGTCTGAGGTAGAAGGTTCAGCCACAACCACCTCCTCTTTCTGCCGCGTATCTGGAGCCTGGTACTCAGGAGAGGGAGGCTTCATCAACCTCACATCCTCACTGCCCTTCTCTACCCTGAAAAAAAAAATATTAAGGGAAAGTCAGGTATCTTTTTCTACACTGGCCATACCTGAAACACCATTAACAGCTTCATCAGAATCTGTACCCAGCTGTCATCTGAGACCTCTAGATTACACAACAGCTGACTCCACAGGAACATCACATCAAAGTGATGGGCAAACTGTATGGAGTCTGTCATGCTCTTTCCTTAGGAAGCAGCTGGATAGTCCTGAGCACACACACACTCCCTGACATGACAGCAACATATTTCTCTTCAGCATCTATTGAAGTAAAATGGGGTCTTCCTCCTGAAAGTAAAAACAAGTCTCCAAAATCCAGCAGCTAGAGATAGTTACCAGCGATCCCTTGGTGTGGTGTCTGTAGGAACATAATCAAACTTCACCTTCCAGCGTACTGCATGCTTGCCCATTTCCACAGCTGTGACACGGCCTGTGAACCACTCCTTGTTCACACGCACTTCCACATGCAGCCCTTTATCTGCAAGGAGGATGACAGCAAAGATGCATGCAAACATTCAGATGCTGGAGAGCACATTCTCCATGAGCTCTAGACAAAACAGGCACCCTCAGTGGGGAACAAACCTAAACCTGTGATAATTCTTTCAAATGGCACATAAACCATAAAAACATCACTGTCACACAGTTCAACTCCTACTTAGAAACATTAAGATACAAGGAAATTATATGGCATTTTCAGACAGAAGGTTGCTTCTGTAATCTGGGCTGTTTGACATGGGCTTTCCAGGCTCGTGTTGGCCAGTAGGACAATTTGCCACATGTTCATAGTGGATCACTTTTTCCAGACAGGTCCTTGGGAACAAGCTGAAGAACTGCCCTACTCTGGCAGAAGGTGCAATACCATCCTGGCTGCTGTCTTTCCTTCAGGTGTCTCACCCCTCTTCTCTCACAGCAGTGCAGCAAGTCTAGATACAGCTCTCAGCATTTCTCAGCTAACGTAGCTCCATGACCCATTCAGTCAGGAAGGGTGAGCACCACATCAGTCTACACCACGCAGCCAAGCATCACACCCATTAACATGATGCAGTCCTCAGATTACAGATCTTCCCACGCCACAGTTGCCTCTTGTCTATACAAGGGTTCCTGGCCAAAATCATGCAAGTTAGAGTCATCTCTGGGTTTGAGACCCAAATTTACATTAATTCTTATTTTAAAAAGCTCATTATTGAAATCACACGTTTAACCAGTAAGTCTAGTTCTGCAACAGTTCTTTACCACTATGTTAGATGTTAGAGGCAGCTCAAGGGTCCATTTCTCACCTTTCTGAGCTTTCTTCAGTTCTGCCAGCTCTTCTTCCCCAGCACTGTCTGTGAGCTGTAAGCAGAGAGAGCTCAGATTAGCTGTCTCCCACCAAGACTATAAACACTTGACAAATACCTTCTGCTGGGGAAGCCAGTGCACTCTCACCTCTACCACCACCTCACTGGAATCCTTCTTCTCTTCCTTCACTGCCACATATTTGCCCCGTTTTGTCTTCTCCTTGTGCTCCCCCTCCTCCTCAGACCCATCCTCTGTGGTGTTCAGGGTCCTCTTCCGAGTGGTAGAGGCCTGTAGGAAGCAATCTCTAGCTATAATTCCAGCATGCTACCAACCAAAACCTTCTTCCAGTCAAGAAAAAAAAAAAAAAAAAGGTTCAGCATCTAGTATTTCATTTGATAGTTAATTAGCTTTTCCAGAAGGTTTTAGCAGGTGCTACAAGATCATGCAAATGCTCACCCCGCCACTCCACATTCTTCTTTTTCTGGGAAACAGTCTGGTCTAACAGGAAAGAGATGAAACAAGTCTTCACAAGGGGTGTAGAATGGCACTCTTACCCAAGAGTAAAGTAAAAGTTACCTTGTCCTGCACAGGGACTACAGTGTAAATCCCATGCAACAGAGCAAGACAGGCTATACAGAATAGTAGGTAAGGAGATGACAGTTTTCATCCCTTCAAGTCTCACCTGTGGGCATTTGACAGAGGCAGATTTCTTTAGTGCTGGCACCTTGACAGCTTTTGGACTGGGTGTCTCACGTGAGCTTTTGGGGGTCTGCAGGACAGCAGAGGACAGCTTAATTGTTGGGCTTGATTTGGCAAGAGTTTTTAAACCACTGTTAGACTTTCCAGCTGTCACAGCTTGTTGGTGTGTCCTGGAAGTGCTGGCCTCCTCCTTGGAGAGCATGCTTGCCAGTTTGGGAGTGCTGATATTTGTCCAAGCTGAAGAGCTTTTTTTCAGCTGACTGATGGACTTGGGAAGAGGCATAGGTGGTGGTGGTCTGCTGGGAGTTTTTGATTACATCAGGTAAAGGAGGAGATCGCGGGCGCTGAGGTCGGGTCTGTGACTGGGTGTTCTGAAACAAATGAGGGTATAGAAAAAGGACAGAGAGTCGGGCGCTGCTTTTCAGAGTAGCTAAGGATAGCAAAGAAGAGTACAAAGCCTACAGCAGTATCCTATTTACCTCCCCTGCAGGTCGTGTGGTCACTTCCAGAGGCAGTTTCTTTAAGTCAGCTTGAGATCGAATTGGAGTGGTTTTCTATTAAAAAAAAAAATAATAATAAAAATCAGAAAAGCCATCTTTAAAATCTGTGAGGGCCTTCCTGAACCCAGCCCAGCAAATAGTCTTCCAGTTTAAAATAAACAATTATAAGAAGGTGCATTCTGTGTCCGTCAAGAGACATTCCTTCATTTGAACACCAGCAGTCACTCCCATTTTCCTAGCAGAAAATGAAATGCAAGCTGAGATGCTTGTTTTCTGTTATTAAAACAACCCCCAACCCATGAAGGAGCACAGGTGGCATTAGAGGCTGAGATAGACATGACTCAGCATCATCCACCTGCACTAGTTGGTCCCTCAAGCCTTGCTGTGCTTAGTTGGAGACCTCCAGGTTCACCTGCAGAGCTTCCAGCTTTTCCTGCTGCTGGCGGATCTTCTCTGTCAGTTGCTTCTGCTTTTCCTCTTGTGATTTCAAGTCTTTCTTCAGAGTTCCCAGTGGCACCTTCTGCTTCTGCTCCGCAGCTTCACATCTAGCACAAAGGGAATGCCAGACAACCTCAGCAATGATAGCAGAACCTGCAGTCTCACATACACAGCACAGTCCCCCTCATAGCCTATCCCTAATGCATCAGTAAAAACCACTCTCCTTTCTGCAGTAGCCACAACCTCAAAAACAGTGGTTTTTTCTTGGGAAACATATATGATTTAAGGATCAAAAGCACAGTTGTTAAAAAAGAAGCCAGTTATGCTGGGAATTACCAATTCAGAGCCCAGGAGCTAAACAAAGCTTAGGAACAGCAGTGACTGGTTTTCTATACTGTTTCTTTACTCTGGACTTTTACAGAAATTTTCCTTCCTATTAACTTATGTCTTCATACCAATTACTCTTTTTACAGAATTCTTTTCCATTTAGAAAGGGAAGCTTATTACCAGTAACCCATGATTAAGATGTTGTTTACACAAGCCTTCCAACAGAGGATGCACTTCACCTTGCTGCCCAAGACCACAAAGTTTTCCTCTGCAATACCCCATAACTAGTGGCATTTCCCATCCTGTTCAACTTACGGCCTGCAAAACAGTGGCAAATACCCTACTCCCTCAGGTCCCCTCAGATGCAGGATCCTGGAAGAGTCCTTGAGAGAGGAGGAAAACGCAGGTAGGGAATACATGAAAGTGGACTGGCATCACCTTCAAACTTCTGGCTGAGCAGCTGGCCATCAGGAGCATTGCCAGAGGAAGAGGGGACTGAGAGGTTCCAAGGCTCATCTCCTGTCACAGAACTGAGTCATGGACAGACACACACAGGATCAACCTGGGCAAAGGGCACAGTCATGCAGGGATGATGCAAGATAGGAAAGCAGCAGTACCAACACTATAGATCCAGCTGATTCCTTCACTGCCTTGGAACCAAGCCAATAAAAACTTTGTGCGAGTGTGGGTGTTACAGACAAAGGGAGGACACCACTCTTGTGGATCACACAGAGCTCCAAGAGGCTGATGAGAGATCATTTTATCAATATCTCTGATCCTGAACCTGCTATCTAATGGGATATCCCCAGTCTGTGAGATACATACTGTGATCAGCTTTGTCAGTGGCAGGGAGCACAAGCAGCAGTTTCTCCATCAGCCTCTTCTCAGCTGAAGCTAGAGAAGCTCCTCAGCTAAGAAAGTAGCTGTCATCATTGCAAAATGACTGCCTGACACCAAAGCTGCAAATCCCAAAGATAAAGCTGAACAAGTGGCACCGTATGCAAGTTTCCCAGCAGAGAAATGCCATCTCCTATGAAACTGCATGGATTGAGGCTGAAAACATTGTTAACCTGTATCTTACAGCACAGGGAAGTATGACAGCGCCTGTTAGTTCTGCCAACAAAAAAAAATTAAGACTACTCATGACATTCAAAACCACAAATTGCATCACTAGAGGCAGCAAGTCAGAAAAAAAGAATCAACTCAGCACCAAGGCTTTGGTGATGCGCAAGGAGCTTTGAGCCAAAGAATCATCTTCAGCTGGTGTTTCAGCCACGAGTCCGAACGCCATTTAGGACCCAACTGGATTTTAGTTAGAAAAAGGGAGGAGAGCAAGCCTAACACTGACATGTGACATAAACACACTGCCACCTCTGTGACAAAGTGAGTGATGGTGCCACTTAGTGCTGACCCCAACACAGACCATGGCATCAGAAGGGGGTGACCCCTTTACATGACATAGATGGAGAAGAGCCTTCAGCTCCCATCATCTGGGACAATGTGCCACCAGCACAAACTGAGGTGTAGGTGGACAAATTAGAAGGGTGAGGAACAGTTCAGTGCCAAAGCAGAAATAATGCAGGCAGACAATGCCAAGGCAGCCAAACCCACCACATGGTCTTCTTATGCCAGGAGAGAGTCTGAACATCAACTCTGACAGTGCTTCATCTTCAACTTGGCTGGATGAGATACTGCACAGACCTTCATACCACTTAAGCTTGAGGGCCCCCACCCATGGTGGCAACTGCAATTCTTCCCAAATCCTCACTCCTCCCTCAGACAGTATAAATAGCTGGAATGGAATAGCTGGAGCATATGGTCAAGACACACAGAGGTGAAGGTGTGCAAACATGGCACAAGGACACAGCAAGAAACATCAGGCAGTAGAGCGCTTGGAAGGGAAGTTCAGAAGTGCAGTGATTGCAAGGAAGCCCTGCTTTCTGCTGGCACCAACCATGCCAGAAGAGTGCTAGTGCAACTTCTGCAAAAAAACTCTGCCTCATGTAAAAGAACACAACTGTACTCACTGTTGGAAAGTGCACTTGAGACTACTCAATTCAAAAATATTCTAGAGCTATTTATCCTCTGGAGTAAGACTCTGACATCTCTTTCAAAGAAGCTGAAATGACCAGAAGTTTGGATGCCTGTCCAGAACACCTCACCTGCCCTTTCTGACCTCTCTGCAAGGGGAATGTGGGACACCATGCATGCACATACTGCAAAAGCAGTCCAACTCGCTCCAACCGATGTGCCAACATGTTCTCACATGAAATGCAGCCAAACCCTCCAAATTTTCAGGGTATTGCAAATACAAAATTCAAATTATTTCATTAGTAAATCAAGTTCCTATTAGGTTACATGATAAAAAAGCTTATCTGCACATACACAAAAGAGCACAAAGACAACAGCAAGTGGGGGGAACCTGAGTAACACCCTTCCCTGGCTACATCCCAGGAGACACCAGCCCATCCAAGGCCCATTTCCACAGCCCAGAGGCCCAAAGGCAGCTCAGGGAGTGCAAATTAGGTTCTTAGAGGAACAGATACCCTGTTTGGACTCCTGCCAGGGCTGTCCTAGGGCAGCCACAGCCCAAATGTCCAGTCAATGCGAGCGGCTCTCCAAAGCTTCTTTAGAAGAAAGAATCTGGTTCAAACCAATGATAGGAAGCAAAAGCTGGTAAAGGAATGGACTGATGTTATTTGGGAAGGAACAAACATGGGAAAATGGAGAACTAAGAGGCTAAGAAGGGCCAGTTGTACATAAACAGTTGGCTGGTCAGTATGTGTAAGAAACTATGAACTAAGGGTATTGTTTATTGAAATTTATGTTAAGCTCAATGTAAAGGTTAGGCGGCACAAGACAGAAAAACTGCTTATGCAAACAGCTGCCAGACACCGCTTGTGTGAGACAAGATAACCTGTGAGACAAGATGACCGCGTGAGACAAGATAACCGCAATTGCTTACACAAACCAGATACTTGTGCAAGCAGAAGGGGTACTGATCAAAGACAACCACGAATGTAAAAATGTATAAAAAGGAACTGTTTGAACTGATCAGTACGGCAGTTGGCGGAGCGCAGACTCCCCTGCTGTCCAGCGCTGTCTTTGCTCATATTCTACTTGCTATAATTAATAAAATTATAATTGGATTATGATCCATTGTGGTCTCAATTTATAACAATTTCATGGTGCCGTGACTCGGATAAGGAACGGTGGGCTTCTGTCCTCCGGGGAGGCGCCCCGCGGCAATCCGCGGCCCCGCGACTGATAGCCCACCCCATCCTTACCGACGAACCTAAATTCTAGAATAATGAGCAAAAGAGAAACCGGTAAAATCCCATAAAAATTCTGTGCACGGGAGTCCGGACGAAGACGCAGGACGCGTAAGTATATTGCGAATTTGTTCGCGGGTTTTACCGTTCGGGCGGGATTGGGTTTCCTGGATTATAACGAATGAGAGGTTCGATATACTGAACCAAGCGAGTGCGGACCCTTAAGTACTGCGTTTCCCATCTCCCGCGAGGGACTGGGCCAGGAACAAGGGGAGCAAGTGAGTGTGTGTTTGTGGATAATCCAGAAGATGGGGGCGAAGGGCAGCAAGCCTTCGACTCCCATGGGAAGGGTACCCACTGTACCTAAGAATACCCCTCTGGCATATATCTTAGACAATTGGAGATATTTCCCTGGAACACTAGGGAAAGATAAGCAGAAAATGATAGAATATTGTACTAAGATATGGGGGAGGGAAGAAGATTTCTAAAAATGTCTTTTGGCCAGTCTGCGGGTCAGAAGAAGATTGGATAAATGCAACAATTAAATCTCTGGGTTAATAAAAAAAAAAAAAAAAAAAAAAAAAACCTTAACCCGGAAGAAAGTCAGTATGCGGGAGTGTGGCTAAAAAGACCGGGAGCTAGACTTTACCCGCTGAATGAAATAAAAACTAAACAAAAGAAAAAGAAGGAAGGGTTAGACGAAACCCTTCTAACCCCCCCTCCTTACATTTCCCCTCCTGCTCCCACAGCCCCTCCAGAGGTCCCCAGAGCGCCCACTCCCCCACCGGAGTCGGAACAAGAGTCTCCCCCTCCTCCTAGATGTGTAACTAGAAGCCAAAAAGGGGCAGCTCAGATGTACCCCCTAAGGGAAATACCCATGGGGGGACCTCAACCCGTGATCGGATATATTTCCGTACCCCTAAACTCGGCTGACCTATGAGATTTTAAAAGAACCGAGATGGGAAACTTAATTGAGGACCCACTCGGAGTGGCAGAAAGATTAAATCAATTTTTTGGACCAAACCTTTATACTTGGGATGAGATGCAATCTATCCTTGGTCAATTATTTACTACCGAGGAAAGAGATATGATTAGATGAGCAGGAATGAGACTGTGGGATGCTCAACATGCCCAGGGACCTCAAGCGGATATTAAATGGCCACTCCAAAGACCTAATAGGGATAATCAGGATCCGGTGCATAGAACTCATATGCAGGACCTGAGAACTATAGTAATTCAGGGAATTAGAGAAGCAGTACCCTGTGGCCAGAATATTAATAAAGCATTTAATGAAATGCAAAAGAAAGATGAGAGCCCTACTGAGTGGCTGGAACGACTGAGGAAAGCCCTCCAGCTGTATTCTGGGGTAAATCCAGACGACCCTTTAGGGCAAGCACTCCTCAAAACTCAGTTTGTGGCAAAATCATGGGAAGATATCAGAAAGAAGATTGAAAAGTTAGAAGACTGGCAGAATAGAGGGTTGGATGAATTATTGAGAGAAGCTCAGA